AGTATGGCCAGGAGCCCCTAGGCGCGTCCTTGCTCCTAGTAGTAAGGCGAGGAGCTACGTTCGTAGCGTCCTTGCTCCGTTCGTAGCGATGCCCTTGGCGGGTTGTGTTGCTTTGTGTTGCTCTTCTGTTTGTGACGATCTCTGGCACGGACGGCTCGGACGGCTTGGCCAGAGTTGTGCCAGAAACCTGCATGAGACTGGGTGCAACGGCAATTCCCGTGTTCCCAACAATAGAAGGTTCCCAATGGATGTTCCTTTGCATCGGGAAGAGCTGAAGAAGATGGGGGGGATGAAGATGCCACTCTCCAACGAGAAAGATATATGAAAAAACAAACAAATCAGCAGAAATCAAGCCATCAGATGTAGAATTGCCACGCCGTGGCACAAGCCTTTTTTCGTGGAACATATCCTGATGAGATCAACTGGCTGTGAAAAGGAAAGGGAATAACAGATGAAAATCCATTCAACGTCCCTACCTTGCAGCACACGAAAACCTGCTTTACAAACAAACGATTTCTGGTGAGAACAGCCAGTGTGACGAAAACGAAACTGATCGGAAGACTCAGACGCTGCCCATCATGTTCTGTCCGTTTCGCAACGTCAGTTCACCGAAGAATGGGCAAAAGCACCAGTGTTTTGGAAAGAAATATATAGATGCCCAAATGCATCTAGTAGTCTCATAGCCCCTAGTAGTTTCTTGTTCCTAGTAGTAAGGCCAAGAGCCCCTAGTAGCGTCCTTGCTCCTAGTAGCGATGTCAGGAGCCAAATGCATGTTTCCTCATCAATGATCTCAATCGCCTCTATATAAAAGGTGATAAAGGTCGTACAGACCATGAATCAGCCCTCACCACTGATGGTCAATCAGCCCTTTTCTTTGAAATAGGTACATTTGCTTTGAGCTTCACATCGGTCATACACAAATACAAATGCACAGACAGTAGTATAGTAGTAAGTGGTAACTTCAGTAGTACTTAGTTCTGGACTTGGATTTTGTTTGGTTCCTGAAGACACGTTTTCTTTCTTTCTTTGTCTTTCTGATCGGCAGGCGCCAGAGAACGCGATCCCTGTGGGCATCGTGGCTGCGCAGTTTGCCTCCTGGGTCGGGCGCCGAGATGTTCACACCGACAGTCACCCCAAACGGGCGCTGGGTGCTTTTGGATAGGCTTTTCAACCTGAAAATTTGGAATATATGGAACCCAATGACGATTCTGGTTCAAGTGAGTTGCTGGGGACAACCAGTTGACCCAGCAGTTGACCCCGAGATCACCCCACGAGGAGGAGGAAGACCTCTTAGCCTCGGTTTCTTGGTCCCACGACGCCGTTCGAGCTCCACTCCGGGTCAACACCATGGTTCGGCCGCCGGAGCCGCCCCGCCATGACTGCCATCATCCGGCTGGGTTCTTGGGCGAAGATCTCGGTCCGAAACAATCCGGGAAAAGGAGAGAACAGCGAACGTGTGCTGACGTCGCGTGATCTCGAACATCTTCCCATTGAAGCAAGGAATGACCCACTGGCAAGTTTGCAGTGCCAGGTCTGGGGTGAGGATAACTTTAAGAGTGGCAGTGAAAAAAGGTGACTGGCTGACCTTCCTTGAAAACGAGACATCGAGCCATCAGTACGGGTCAGTACGGGTCACTGGTCACTGGTCTCCGACGGTGAGGTGTCAAGCCTCGATGGGCACGTCCACCATGGCCACATCACCCATCCATCTATTGGTTGATCCACAAGTCGCCCTTCGGTGGTGTTCTTCCCACAAAAGAGGTGTGCCGAAGTTTCCCGGTGCAAAGAAACAAGCTTTCAACCTGACCCCCGATCCTCGCAGCATTTGGGCACCTCATCTGGTAACTCGAGGGGGAATGAAGCGTTCGCTCCTTTCTCCCCATTCGGAGCGTTCTCGGCGGGCTTCGGTGGAGTTGCCGTTGTCCTCCGGTCCCAAACACTTGGGGACCGCGATCGCGCCGGGGAATTCGTGGTTGGGTGGTTGGCTCCGAAAAGCCCGCCAACTTCCGGTGTGAAACTGCCTCTTTCTCCGTTTCCACTGCCTGTTTTCCTTGGGGCTGGTCCACCCCCTGGTACCCCACATTGATCACCCCTGTCTGTTCGATCACCTTCATCGCCTTGAAGCAGCGAACGTGATTGACCTTGACTAACCACGCCCAGGTGCAGCAGAGCAGCTCAGAGACCGTGCAGAGCATCCCGCTGACCAGCTGTAAAGGTGCAATTCATGGTTTTCAAGCCATCCCGAATGAACCCCTGGATGGCTTTTGCTGTAGTTTGTCCCACTTCCTTGAAGCAACACCTGCTTTTGCATGCGCAAGCTGAAGGAGAGGGAAGGAGCTGTGCGACGCTTCACGGGTTTCTGTAAGCCTAGTCGCATGTTCTGTGTTTGTGTGTGTGTGTGCGTAATGGTTGCGAAGGTTTGGGTCGCCTGTTCATAGGTCGTTTTGAGGATGAGAAAGCTTTTTGTAGTGCTCATCAAAATGGAGCAGAGTGCTCCCACGCGACAGGTGCTTCGACCTGGAAGCAATTCTTCACCACTCCAGGTAGTCTGGGGCCGATTTTGGCCGGGAGGCCTGACGAGCTCCTGCGAGGCTGGTGTCGGTGTGTCTGGGCTCCAGTAGCTTCTTGTTCCTAGTAATAATGGCAGGAGCTACAGCCGTAGCGATGCCCTTTGTTCCTAGTAGTAAGGCCAGGAGCCCCTAGTCCGCGTCCTTGTTCCTAGTAGCGAAGCTTCTTGTTCCTAGTAGCTTCTGGAGGATGCTTTGGATGTTTTGGGGATGAAATTTGGGAAAGCTTTCCCATCTTCTCCCTGCTTGGCCATGGTTGTCGCCACGGCAGTGGCACAAGTTGAACAAGCCCCCATTGCTCTACCCAAAACGACATAGTAGCAACCCTCACATTGGCTTGGAAGTTTTGGACATCCATGATGAGCCCAAACAAGAAACCATTCCATTCCATTCCATTCCATTCCATTCCATCTACCTCCACAAAGTTTCAAGGATCTGTTCATCTCTTGGATGTGAGGCGGGTCTATGATGGTCTATTTCAATCACCCCGAATGCACTGATGACTCGGATGACTCGCGGAGCTATTTTCCTTGTAAAGAAAACGGGTCTGCGGTCACATGGGCATATGTGCCTTCATGCGTTCGTCAATCTCCATGTTCAAACCAAACTTGAGTGCAAATGAAAGGAACTCCCTTTTGCAATCCCCCTTTGGGCTTCTTTCAGCCCAGACACAAGAACGGCTCAAAAGCTCAAGACCAAGAAAGGAACTCTCTTCTTCAAAGGAGAAGCAGCACATCCAAAGGAAAGGCATCACAAGAAAAAAACACCAATTTCAAAAACATTGCCGCCGGTGGGCTGACATTCTACAAGCAAACTGAAATTCTACCCATCACTTCGGGTTCTTTTCTGCAAGAAAAGGCATGCAGCACACTTCGGCTTCTGGAGCCATGCTATGGGGATTCGTAATCTTTCCGTGCTTGGCGAGAGTCCAGACTTCGTGGCATGCTATGGGGAAACCGATCTCGGCTAGTGAAGGTGTCCGGTTTCTTTCCATGTGATTTTGGTCGCCCAAGTCGCCGAAACCAGGTGGCGATGATGCTTTGGGCTGTGGGGTGCTTTCTGTGCGCCAAGCCGTCGAGTAGCGTCGAAATCAATCCGGAAGTGGTCCCAAGCCCTTTTGCCGCTCGTTGGGTGTTTTGGTGTTTTGATGCTCGGTGCTTGTGGTCACGCTAGCGTGTCCTAGCAGGTCACCGCGTGTCCTCGGATCGCGGCACCGGTTTGGGATCCGCGTGGTATGCCCAGCGCCAGGTATGCGGTCTATGCCACACCTCAGATCCCCATGGTGGCACCAGAGATCTTCTACCAGCAGGCACCGGGGTGTTCGTTGTTTTCATGCGATGGGTTGGTTGGACCAAAAGCTATGAATCTACAGTCCTACATGTGGCCGAAAGGGGTATCAAAGGGCTTGAACCGCGCAAAGCACCGCGCAGGTTCAGGAGCAGATCGAGAACATCCCAGTGCCGAAAGATAGCCCACATTATTCGCACTATAGGCGCAAGGGAGAGCGCAAGTTTTGTGTTCATGAAGCGGCTGAAAGGGAAGCGGCTGGTGAATGGCATCTCCCAACTCAACCGGTGAAGCCATGCAGATGGCCTTAAAAAAAGACAACGGAAAAAAAACAACAAATGATCTCTTTTTGGTCTCCAAAGAAACAGGAGAACATGTTGAACACGTCCCAAGAAGTGGAACTTCGTATTGGGCATAGCACATCCTGCGACTCTGTCTCTACAAGGATGGTCATCGCTCGAAGAATTGCACGTTGGTCCTTTAGACTCGCGTTCTCATGACAACTCTGCTGGCAGCGCTGCTGGATGTGATGGCGCTCACCGATCTGCACGGTCAGGCGGTACTATCTCGAGCAGTACAGGGAGCACCTGGCACAGTACAGGGAGCACGAAGAGGCCTTCAGGCTCAACAAAGGCGCCTGGCGTACGATGCGCCGCACACACGTTCGACGCATGTTCGACCTGCTGGGCAAACCGACGGTGCCGTTGCACTTGGTGATGGAGTCTTAAAAAATATCTTCACGCTGAAACAAACGTGGGAGTTGAAGACACCATAAAAATCCATCAATGCAATATAGAAATAGAATAATCCTCCAAACCGCCATTTGGATTGCAAAGCCAAACGGGCCATGAAGGAGGTCGGTCATGGCTGCAAGTCGTCCTCCGTGTCGTCCTCGGCATCAACGCCTGTGATCCGTTCGACTCCTGGAAGTAGATGAGAATAAGGGCGAAAGAGGGATCGGGTCGCAGGAAGGAACCAATGAAAAGGAACATGCCGCATAGGGAACTCTTAGGGTCAAGAGCTTCATATTGGCTTCGGTCTTTCGGCTTTTCAGCCGCTGAGAAGGGTCATGGTGGCGGACCAGGTGTGCTCGTCGGCCGTCGCATCTCGTCAGGACCCAGGGTCCATTGGGGCGCCCTTCTACAGGTTCGTTGGACGGGCGCGGACGGGACGCGTGCGGTGTGTTTTGGACGCGGAGACGGGACGGGCGTCTCTTGGGACGGGCTTCTCTTTGCGTGGTTGGACGGTCTCGTTATGTTTTTCCGCTTCGTTATGGTGGCGCAGCGAAGGGCGGATCTGTAACTTTTGGGACTTGGAAGGTGAGACGAGATGTGCAAAAGACAAAAGGCAAACATAGACCAGAAAAGTGGAAAAAATATAGGCTTGTTTCCATCGCTACTAGGACCTAGGAGCAAGGACACTACTAGTAGCTCCTGGCCTTACTACTAGTTTCTTGTGTGACGTTTTTTCAGGGCTTGGGCATTGGTACCTGGATCTTCGTGGCGGTGTTGGCCTTCTGCGAGTACAGGCGCAGCTGCCTCGCCGGCCGGTGGCTGCGGGACCAACCAGGGACGGAACTTGCTTTTATCCGTCGCGATGTCAAACAGAGAAGGAACAGTCGTGCGTCAAAGAGGCTCCAACCAGTTCTGGAAGCCGAAGACGGTGGACGACCAGGGACGACCAGGGACCAGGTCAGTCCTGTTTTCAGCACATGCGACGGTCGTGTGCTCGGGGAGACGCTTGCGCGGAGGGAATCAAGTTGAATCCCTTTCACGTTCAATCGAAGCGCGGTGCACAGCGCATCCAAGCGCAGCGCCTAGGCTAGAACTTCAAGTTGAATCACTGAAAAATAGTTATTGTTTCTACAGTGGTTTCAGAGTAGATGGCACAATCACCAAGAGGTGGTTAAAATGGACCCCCATCTAAAAGACATGTAGGGGGTTGTGCCATCTACTCTGAAACCACTGCAATAGCTTCTTGTTACTAGTAGTACGGCCAGGAGCCCCTAGTAGCGTTCTTGCTCCTAGTAGCGAGGCCAGGAGCCCCTAGTAGCAAGGAAACAAAATGCGCCAAAGACCCCCAGTTGTGTGGAGCTTCCTGCACCGATCCGGCGTTTGTTCATGACGAAGCCAAGCGAGCAGGGAGAAGCAGACCTGAACCCAGCACCACCCCGTCCTGTAGTGGCCATGAAGGATCCCTCAGGATAGAGGTTGTTTTTGAGGTCTCTTTTTACATACCCACCTTGGGACATATGTGCAAATCCCACCCGAATTCGAAACAGCTTTGGCCACGGCGTGCCACATCGTTCGCATTCGCCACAGCACCGTCGGGTTCATGTCGTCACCGCACCATCATTTCGACAGATACACCACGGTCACGGTGTCGATGGAGATGGTCGAGGCGTGGCGGGGCGGGCGGGCTGTGGCGGCGCGGCTGGATGGCCGTCGTGGCGCTCGGTGAAAGCGAGCGAACGTCGTGCGCTCACGTCGGACCAGAGGCCTTACGTTCAAATGAAAGCCCAAAAACTCAGAGGGCCTTCGTTCGCCGTTTGGGCCTCCAACCTACCTGAGCCTTCGGACCGTGCTTGACTCGGACCATTCGGCTCGGGCCGACCCGGAAAGCGGTCCCCAGGAGCGATGGGCTGCGTGGCGACAGAGGTGCTGTTACGGAATTCTTCAAAAGGGAAGGAGAAGGGAATTCCAAACAGGGAGGTATTTTGTGGAAGTGGTTGTGTTTGTGGAGTGTGTTGAAAGAGTTGGAATTTGGAATTCGGTGTTTTTGGAGTGACCTCAAAAGATTCACCAGGAGTCCGAGCAACGCCGTGTGAGATGAACCATTTGACTGTTCCCTCCAAACTTGAGAGTGGCTGCAACTCCTCGTAGGACCTCGTGTGTATGTCACCCAGACACTTGATGTACGGGCATGGTTGATTGAAAAGGGGGTACATGTACCCTAGCCTTCACCATGAAAAGGAAGTTTGACCCGGTGTCCCAAAATCCTTCGTCCAAAACTTGCGAAACTAGTAGCGATGCCATTTGTGACTAGTAGTAGTCAAAACCATGGCGAAAGCCTGGACATCAGCGGGTTTATCGACACGTCCTTCATGTCGGGCACGAGCTTCGTCGGACACGAGCTCCGTCGGACAGCTCGACCATCCTGTGGGCTCCAAGAAGGGGTCACTCGACATGCGCTCCTCTCGTCTTTCGAAAGCCTAAACTGGGCAGAGCCAGGTGGAAAGATGAAGCAGGCAGGGTCTCCCCTGTTGACCTCATAGCGATCTCACAGTCAAGCGGTGAGTGAACAGTCAAGCTTTGTCCTCGCCAATCTGTTTCTCCCTTTTTCGGTCGAATGACCTAAACGAATGCCCGGCTTGTTGCGACCGCTTCACTTCCTTCGGTGCGAGCACCGAGGCCGCGGGAAGAAGAAGCCTCAAAGGAGGGGCGGTGCTTTCGTCGCACAAGCGGGACGCATCGATCGTCGCACCACCGCGGCTCGTGGCCTCTGACCAAGCGTGCGTGCGTGGGTTCCACAGCGAAGGTGGAATCACACCCAGCTTCGTGAAATATGGGAAGTCAGAAGTGTTGGGAGGTTCTTCGATATAGGACAGATCTTAAGGATTTAGCTCTGCTCAGTTCCCCTCCAACTCCAATCTCTACTCATTTTGGCTGCAGGCTACGGCGCCTACAGTCTGGGCCTCTCTTTTTTGAAAGGAAAAAGACTCCAAAAAATTTGACTCTGCTTCGTTTCCGTTTGGCGTTTTTATGGATCTTTGCTTCGTTGGTGTAGACGTTGCTCCCCCGAAATCATCGGACCCCCTGGTGGGTTCTCCAACGCCTCGCGTCGCTTCACGGGCGCCTCCAGCAAACAGCAAAGCAAACGATATGAATTAGACCTTAGACCTCGATGTGTCGCAAGCTTTGCGAATTGTTCAGAGCAGACGAAGAGGAAGACCTTTCTTCCTTTTCTTTGTAGCGTTGGTCTCCGAAGGAGGAAGGAGAAGGAGCTGAAGGAGGACGGAGACCGAGAGCTTGGCTCGCTCGCGTGGTCACGTCCGGACGCGGGTCACGTCGTGGTTCAGGTCGAGGACTGGACCGAAGCCAGGAACAATGTTCGCTGCTAGGAACAAGTGCATCGCTACTAGTAGCAAGTGCCTTACTAGTAGTAACAAGAAGCTAGTAGAAACAAGCTGGCTTCAAGTTCAGTTCAAGCTTTTGGGCCAATCCAAAATGGCGAGAAATGGTGGTGGAAACGAACCCATGGGTTTGGTGGGTTTCATGGGCTCACCCCGAGCGCCTGAGCCCTCGTGCGAACGTCACATGGATCACACGGTCACATTGGGATCGAAGCGAACAGGACCACAGCACCAGCGATGGCCTCCAACCTACTAGTGACTAGTGATGGCTTCCAACCTGTAAACCTTCCTCATTTGCCATTTGCACTTGTTACTACTAGCTTCTTGTTACTACTAGTAAGGCACCTGTT